ACCCCCACCCCCGCCTCTGGGCGCCTCACGGGCCGCTCAGGGCCGGGCTTCTGTCAGCCTGAGAGACAGGGCGGGCCCGAGGAAACGGCGGCGTCAAAGGACGCGCCTGACGACAGCGGACACGCGGGCACCGACTTCCTGAGGAGAACGCTCTAGAAAACGGCGCGGCGGCCCCCCCGGGCGCAGGCTGGCACCCTGAGGCGACCGGCCGGTGGCTACCACCACACCTGTGGCGCGCCGCCGCTCCCCTCAGCCGGGGGTCACCCGCGTGCTCGCTCCTACCTCTCCTGGAGGGCTCGAACCCCGCCGCCGGCGCTCTCCCGGGGTCCCGGTCGCGCCTCTCACCGCTGCGGCGAAGGGTGAAGGCGCTTCCTGGCCGCGCGGCCCCCGCCGCGCCCACGCACTGGCTGTGAGGAGCGCGAGTGGCGCGAGGACGACCCGCTTCGCGACAGCGCCGACTAGACGCCGCGCTTTACGGCAGGGGGACCGCGTGGCCTGCGTCGTGCGTCCCGACGCCGCCAGCGGGTGGCGTGGGAACACGCCGGCCCGCTCTGCGCAGGCGCAGCCGCTCCCGGGAACCCGCTCTCCGAGAGCCGGCGCGAGTGACCCCGAGGCCGCACCCGCGGGCAGCGACTCCGCCACGACGACGACGACGACGGGGCGTCCAGGAGTCCCGAAAGTGCGTCGTGGGCAGCTTTAGACTAGCCACTCGTGTCTTACAGCCGGGGAGGCTGCTGCCCACACTGGAACGACGAGGCCACGCGCCCTGAAAGTCAGGTCTGTCCAGTCTAGTTCTGGCCGCCCAGGAAAACGAGCCCCCAGTGACCTTCCGGAGGCTGCGGTGAGTGGCACGCGGCCCGGGAAGGCCAAACAGGAGGGTCTCCCGGTGCAGGGCGGGGGGAGCCGAGCTCAGGCCTCGTGGTGGACACGGCTACCCAGACCAGCGTGCAGAAGTCGGCAGCTCCTGCAGGGGCTGGACTTTGCGGCCAGCATCTGTGCAGGAAGAAGGAAAGGCGCAGGGGGCAGCGGGAGGGCCGCGCCTTCGTGCAGGGAGGGCTCCAAGGCGTGACTTTGGGCCCATCGGGGCACAGGGAAGGAGGCGCGCCAGCCGTTCTCGGACAAAACCTGGTGCTGGCCGTGGTCTGGAGCAGGTTCACCGACCTCAGTTCTGTTGCGACCGGCCGTCGCCCGCCGTGTGGACAATGACAGGTGGTGGCGCGGCGAGGGCCGGCCGCAGCGATGAGTGGAGGGCGTGGGCACAAGTTGGGGCCGCGGGACGGCAGCTGCGGTGAAAGGCCTCGTGCTGCGGTCGCCCCAGGTGCCCCGCCCGAACTGTCAGGCACGCGGTAGCTTTTCAGCGATGACACTCGCTCATTTTAGGCATTTCATGTAAAATTCACTGCAACATACAGTCACTGGCGGCAGGACCAACGGTGCTGGCCGGCTGGAAGGTTTCTTTCCTCCCAAGCCTAAGTCTTGCCTTGAGTTTTGAGGTGACAGCCACGGAGATGGCCCTCTGTTTGCGGGCCGTGGAATGAGCCCCGGATCTGACAGTGGACACTTTACTTTGCACGGTTAGGAGACGTCCGAGGCGGGGGACACTGCGCCACATGCTGGATGCGCTTGCAATCGCCCCAGGAGGGGGACATGGCCGCAGAGAAGACGCTGACACGGACTCCCACCGTGCCGTCCCCAGGCAAGGCTGCCCCCGCCGGCCGGCGGGTCGGTGCGTGCTCCAGACCCCTGAGTTGGCGCGAGCTCAGCCGGCCGTGGCCAGCTGAGGGGACGCGCTCAGGCAGCCTGTATCTCCGAGTCAGTAAGCGGCGCTACACAAGCCTTTCGTTCCTGGGCTGGCCCAGAGCTCCAACTTGGCCGTTTGTCGGTTGGTTTGATTTTTTTTTTAAGATCGTCATTCTGATCTGTTATCGAAAAACCAGCTGTCTGCGGGAGTCTCCTAGCGGGGGCGGCCCGGCGGCGGGCCACGAGGG